CTGGTCACCTAGCAACCACCCTGCAGGCTTGTTTTCTGTATGATTGCACCTCCACCCACGCCACCCCCTCTGCCTGGTAGCCCAGGCCTCCTCCCGGAGCACCACAGTGCCAGTGCCAGGCACGAGCGGGTGGGGGCCTGCACCCTGGCTTTCACTTCCACTGGGGAAGAAGATGCACCCACCCGCTTTGTTTTTAAAGGCCCCGGGGCCCTGAAGTCTCTGCCCACGGCTGAGGGTGGCAGAGTGCAAGGGCCCCTGTGCCTGAAAGCACCCATTGTCCCTGGCTCAGTGGTGGGAGGCCCTGGGAAGAGGGAGCAGCTGTCCACAGGATAGGGTGGGTGAGGACGAGGCAGTGGCCGGTCCATCTCAGCGCTTGCTATTTTTGAGAAAAGACCACCAGATGGAGGGATTCCTCGGGCAAATAGAGCCCACACCTGACTTGACGGCAGAGCTGTGCCTGGCCCCCAGTGCCACCGAAACACTCAAGACCCTGGGTGTAGACCGAGGGTCGGGCCCCCACAGCTAGTTGTCCCTGCCTTTCTCTCCTGTCCCCATGGGTGCCCACTCTCCTTCCTACGGAGACCACGGAAAACTCTGACCGATCAGGCCACCCTCTTCCCACCCAGCCACTGACTGACATGCTGACCACAGTAAGAGTTGGTGAGGAGACAAAGTATTGGTGGGGCAGGGACCCCCCCTCCCCCGCACCCTCCACCTGCACCTGGGAGCGCCCGCCCTACCTTTCAAGGTACACAGGGGTGAAAAGAGCAGAGGAAGAGGCGGGCATCAGGGTGGCACTCCTGGGCGAGCAGGGGCAGCCAGCTGACCAGCGCCAAATAGCCTTGGTGGCTGTGTGATGGCCCAGCAAGTTGGGCAGCCACATCTGCCATGGCCTGAGGAGTGGGTAGGCATCTCGAGGGGCCCCAGGGAACCCCCGCCCCGCCGTCACCCCCATCATCACCGGCACTGCCACAGCCACAGCTTTTGCTTTATGGCCTGCCACGGGCCTGTGAGCCGGCAGAGGTGGGGTGCAGGGCGGCCCGGCTGGTGTCTGCCCACCTCAGAGCGCTTCCACCGACCTAGCTGGGTGGGTTCCAGCATGCTGGGCTGGTGGCATTCGATGAGCACAGCAGTGCAGGGGTGGGGCAGCATAGGGGATGGTGGGACCTGTGGATTAGAGGTACCTAATAAACCAAAACAGTATGGGCGCATGTTTCCTCTCCTGACTCCCGTTTACTTTAAACAGTAGCAAGGGCGCTGGGTCCTGCCCCTTGCCTTGCAGGCAGGGCTGCCTCCCAGCCTGGCTCACGCCCTTTGGGGATTTGCTGGGGGTGGGGTGGGGAGTCTGTGCCCTGTTCACAATGCCATCCCATCTGGGTCATCTGAACATAAATTCTGGAGTTCAGCACCTCAAGCCCTGAGGCTTGTGGGCTTGAGTTCTTCATTGATAAGTGCAGACTGATGGGGCTCATGGTCTAGACAATGGTTCTCAACCTGTGGGTCATGACCCCTTTTGGGGTCAAATGACCTTTTCACAGGGGTCACCTAATTCATAACAATTGCAAAAGGGCAGTTATGAAGTAGCAATGAAAATAATTTTATGATTGGGGGTCACCACAACATGAGGAACTGTGTGAAAGGGTGGAGGCATTAGGAAGGTTGAGAACCACTGTTCTAGAAGAAGCCTACGAATTTAGGAGTTGGTGGCTTAGGATGAGGCCTGGCCCTGAGTCTGTACCACCCAAGTGTGATCCACTGTGGTGACAGCTGAGAACTGTCCAGCTCTGATCAGGGCTCAGAGTGGCCATTGCCCTTCCTCTTGGTCAGTTTACACCGGGAACATGGTGGAAAGCATGTGTCAGGTCCCCTCTGTGGGCGCTCTGAGATGACAGCATTGCTGTGTCCTCTCTCACTCAGCCCCTGGGGGCCCCTGCCCCCCCTTGTCTAAGGAAGTCCTCTTCCCCAGCAGGAAATGAAGCAGGGCCTGGGGTCCTGCCCTGGCAGGACCTCGAATGCCAGCGGCAAGCGGCCTACTGGTATGAGGGCATCCTGCTGCAGGTCTGTCCTGTGTGGGAGCTCAGTGGACATTTGTGCCTAGAGGAAGTGGGGGAGCCCAGGGTGCCAGAGGCTTCTCAGGGAGCAGCATCTGTCGGACGTCTGAGGGACACCCTGGCCTCCCAGCCTGGGAAGTCAATAAGTCAGCCTTGGCCAGATGACCAACTGCCACTTGTGCAGAAGACTGGCGGGCAAGGCCCTTGGATTGGCCGGGTGCTCGCTTGCTTCTCCTTCAGCAAGGCTGAGGAGCAGCCCCTGCTTTCTGAGTGTACACCCAGAAGAAATGAGCGAGGGCCACACTCTGGCCGGCCTGCCAGGAGCCCTCTGGGAACTGTATTCACCCCCGTGACCCCAGTGCTGGCCTGCAGGGAGGGGAGGCCCCCACCAGGGGCCTTACCACCCTCCTTCTCTCGGCAGAAACCCCCGGCTTCCTGACCGATGAGGAATGCCGGCTCATCATCCACCTGGCACAGATGAAGGGCTTGCAGCGCAGTCAGATCCTGCCCACCGAGGAGTACGAGGAGGCGATGGGCACCATGCAGCTCAGCCAGCTGGACCTCTTCCGACTGCTGGACCAGAACCGTGATGGCCGCCTGCAGCTCCGAGAGGTTGGGATCCGGGGACCCAGAATAGGCAGAGGGAAAGTGGCCAGAATGACCTTCCTGATGGTGGCAGGGTCATTTGTCCAAGTCAACCCTGGCTCCAAGAGTCCGATCCATCCCAGCCAGGCTGGCTTGGGCATGTCCTGGTCTAGCATTTTCCCCTTCCATCCCTGGAGAGCCCCCTGCTGCCCTATGAACCCCTGAGGTCATCGGGCACATGACTGGTTGGGGTGGGGGAATGATACTGATGGCCGCAGTACTGGATTCGGTACTTTCGGTGGGTGAGATACGGGGCTGCCCTAGCTGGGGGTCTGCACACCTTCACGTAGGTGGGGTGGCAGCCTTGAAGTGGCCCTCAACGTGGGCTTCTGAGAGGGCTGGCAAACAGTACATCTCACTGAGCAGACCTTCCCGAAGGAACCAATGACATGCCCTGGCCAGGCCTCGCTGGGGTGCCTGCTTCTTCTTCACACCCAGGCTTGACTCCCCGCCAGGGTGTGTGTGAGTGGGACGGAGGTCTGTCCCTCACTCTGCCTCCAGCCAGTTGGGTGGGAAGTGCTTAGGACCTCTCAACTACCCTCTGACCTCCTCCCCAGAAGCCTCTGCACATATCTGCCCTCCCTCATTTCTCGGGACCCTCGGGCTCCATCTCTGGCCCTGTCCATGCCCTCTCACCTGGCCCCACAGCAAGAACCGAGCCAACCTTTGCACGGGCCCTCTCTTGGGCAGGTCCTGGCTCAGACTCGCCTGGGAAATGGCCGGTGGATGACCCCAGAGAGCATTCAGGAGATGTACTCTGCGATCAAGGCCGACCCTGACGGGGATGGTGAGTGCCCTCCCCACCACACACCTGTCCTAGCCAGTCTCCTGCCCACTCCCAGGTGTACCATCCCGAGTGCCCCGGGCAGCCGCTCTGCCCAGCCTGCTAGTGGCCAGAGCTGTGGCGTGAGCATCCAGCCTCGGCCCTTATCCCATGGGAAGAGGGCAGTCAGCTGGCTCCTCCCATTCCTCTGGGTTCACACCCAAGAGTGACCTTCCAGAGCTCTGGGACAGCAAGACCAGGCTGGGGTTCCACTGTTCCCTCAGCCTCCTCTCTCCAGCCTGGGGTGGCCCTGCATCTCCACGCGGCCTTCCTTGCCAACCTGAGCCCTGCTGAAACACCAAAGTGGCGGGTTGCTAACTACTCAGGTTGGGTGGGTGCCGTTAGCAGCGTCTCCCTTTGGGGCATGGCCCAAAAGGTTTCTGGGATGTGGTCAGCCTCATGCTCAAGTTCTGCCCACCGAGAAAGACCAGAGACAGCAGTAGACGAGGTCTCAGAATATTGGTCTTTTCGCCAGTAAACCCAGACTGAAGTTTTAAGCCTGTGGCTGGAGGGGTGTCCTGCTGCCCCTGCCCTGTAGGTGCAGAGCCGGCTGGCGGCAGGCTCACAGCCCTTGAATGTCTCCACGCCCTTAGAAAGTTCTGGTCTGTTTTAGCAAGTGGCTCCATGGGTCAGGCGGGTTAACCAGGAGCAGCCAAGGCACCAGCTACTGCTCTAGAGCCTGGAGAGAGTGGAGCCCTTGCTTTGTAGGCTGGGCAGGAACAAGGTTCTCATCTGGGACTGCAGCCCGGGCTTTCTTTACCAACTCGGACCAATGATCCAGCCAGCAGGCCGGCCTGGCCAGATGCGTTTGACTCGGGAGGTGACCCAAGGCCTTCAGGGCACCCTCCCCTTTCCCCCTAGGGAACTGACCACAGTTGCATCCTGTGGTATGGACGGTTATGGAAGCGGCCCAGTACTGGCTCCTCTCTCCTTGCATGCCATGCTAGAGGGTGGTCCCCACTCTCTGTGGAACCACGCTGGAGGGCTGGGGGCTCAGGCTTCCTCTGGAGACCTTGCTCTGGCTGGGGCGGGGCAGCACTTGTTCCCTGGGCCAAATCAGAGGGCTGCCTGAGCACACGGTGGCTTCTTTGGGTCTCCTTCCCGTCGGGCCTGACATGACGAAAAGCAGGTTTGTCTGCCCCAAGAGCCCAGGCGGGGTACAGGAGCACGTGGCCCTCCAGGGCATGAGGCCAGGGGCTGTGGAGTGGCAGGCAGGCCTCCCCTTCCCGCTTGGTGGGCAGTGATGGCCAGTGTTTTGCGCAGGAGTGTTGAGTCTGCAGGAGTTCTCCAGCATGGACCTTCGGGACTTCCACAAGTACATGAGGAGCCACAAGGTGGAGACCAGCGAGCTGGTACGGAATAGCCATCACACGTGGCTCTACCAGGGTGAGGGTGCCCACCACGTCATGCGTGCCATCCGACAGAGGTGAGTGCCTAAGCCACCCCCCTTCCCAAAGTCCTAGACTGGGGCTCCGAGGATGGAGTTGATGGAGCCTTGTTGGGATTCGGTTCTGCTTGTGGGGCCTGGAAGGGGACCTGCTGAAGGCTGCACAATGGATGGAGACCAATCAGCCGGGTAGGGTACAGTGAGGATTAGACTAGACAGAGACAGAGTGTGGGCTTTCAGCCACTTAGAAGAAATGGCCTTTCTGCGTTCACAGGGCCTCCTGCCTGGCTGAGCAGTGGCTGGGGCTTCAGATAAACGACTTCCTTCCTAGGGAGATGGGGTGGGGTCAGCAAACCTGGGTCTGAGAGTCTGACTCCCCCCTCCCCCCTCCCACTTAAGAGAATCTCACCTTTTCCACCAGTGGGCGCCCAACAGCCCGGGGGAGGGTTCAGCACACTTGAACCCTTCTCGCTCCAACAAGGCCAGTCTGGTGGCTCAGGTGGCTTCCAGGGAAGTGGGCAGGAGGGGCAGAGATGGGGGCAGGCCCAGGGTCCATCTTGGCCGGCTCCTTCAGGGTGCCCAGCCGACTGCCTGCTGCCCACCAGGGTGCTTCGTCTCACCCGCCTGTCTCCGGAGATCGTGGAGCTTAGCGAGCCTCTGCAGGTGGTGCGGTACGGCGAGGGAGGCCATTACCATGCCCACGTGGACAGCGGGCCCGTGTACCCGGAGACCATCTGCTCTCACACCAAGGTGGTGGCCAACGAGTCTGTGCCCTTTGAGACCTCCTGCCGGCAAGTACCTCCTCCAACTCCCAGACCAGGCACCCCTGAGACACAGGCACAGGCCTGCCCTGGGACCCTGGAGCCATTCTGCTCAGCAAAGTGCTTGCCATGCCCTTCAAGTTGTCTACAGGGGGTGGGGGTTGCCTACTGCCGGCCAGCTGGCCCACTCCCTTCAACAGAGACCAAGGTAGCCACAGACACTGAAACTTGCCCTGAGGTCTGAGGCTTCTGCCCTGGACCTCCGCTTCTTCCCACCCTCTCTCCCAGCTGCTAATCCTGCCTCCGTGGTGGGCAGCCTCGGCTGCTCCTGGTTCCCTCGCCCTCGCCCCTCACCGAGGTGCACGGGCAGGGCTGGCTGTTCCCTGCGGTGGCCATGGTTCAGGGCCCCCCTATGAGTTCCCTTGCTCACACCACCTGCCCAGCCTTCTGCACGCACTCGCTCCTGCTGCGGGTTGGAACCTTGTTCTAACTGAGCTCAGGCCACTGTGATCTTGCCCACAAAAACGAATGAGCACTCGGCAAAACAGCTTATGCAGGGAGGGAGGAACTTGGACTGCCCCCTCTTGGCTCCCCAAGGGGAGCCTATCCTGCCTACAGTAAGCCCCCCGCACCCCTGTGAGTGAGCGTTATCTGGCCAGAGGCCTGCTCAGCTGCGCCCCCTTCCCCCCACCTTACAGCTACATGACGGTGCTGTTTTATTTGAACAACGTCACCGGCGGGGGTGAGACCGTCTTCCCTGTAGCCGACAACAGGACCTACGATGAGATGGTAAGGGCTGGCCGGGCCACTGCCCACCCTGGTGGGCTGGCCTGGCCTTGGGCTCACCTAGTACATACCCCTTTGGGCTGTGGAGGAAGGCCCAAGATCGCCCCAGCACATCTGGCCCTGCAAACCTCCCCTGCTTGCTCCCTGCAGAGCCTGATTCAGGGTGGTGTTGACCTCCGGGACACCCGGAGGCACTGCGATAAGGGAAACCTGCGTGTGCAGCCGCAGCAGGGCACGGCAGTCTTTTGGTACAACTACCTGCCTGATGGGCAAGGTGAGCGCTTGTGGTCAGGCCAGGGTGCCCTGGAAACGACTCCCCCCCACCACCCCCTAAGGCTGTTTCTAACCTACCCACTGCCATCAAGTAGATTCCAACTTCCGGGCAGGGTTTCTGAAGCTGTACATCTTGACAGGAGCGAGAGCAAGCAGCCAGCGTGTCTCTCTTGAAGAGCCGCTCACACAGCTCAGACTCATTGCCATCCAGCCCTGGCTGATTCCTCATCACCCTAGAGCAGAGGCAGAAACTGTCCCCATGGCTTTCTGAGACTGTAACCTTTTATAGGCATAGAGAGCCCCGTCTTTCCCCCCAGGCTAATGGGTTTGAAACGCTAGCCTTCTGATTCGGAGTCGCTTAACCAGCAGTGGTTCCATGGCTGTTTCTGGCCACCCCAAGTAGTAGCCTAGCTGATTTCAGCAGGCTGCCACAGCACCTGTGCCGATTCCTGCTCTCTGGGGCTGTGGGCCCATAGCCCCTTGGCAGCCCAGGCTGGGAAGGGGTGTGAACAGGGCCTGGCTGTGAGAAAGTTGGTCTCAGAGGGCCAGGGGTCTGCACACAGTACTAGGTAGACGCTGAGGTCCCAAGGCGGCTTGTGGGGCACTGGTGTTTGCTACCTACTGGAGATGTGCACAGCTGGGCCTGACCCCAAAGAGACTACACTTGGGCCAGCCCAGCTTAGGGTCTCCCTGTGAGTTCCCTTGCTCACACCACCATCCTCTGACAGGCTGGGTGGGTGACGTGGATGAGTACTCGCTGCACGGAGGCTGCCTGGTCACACGAGGCACCAAGTGGATCGCCAACAACTGGATCAACGTTGACCCTAGCCGGGCGCGGCAGGCACTTTACCAGCAGGAAATGGCACGTCTGGCCCGTGAAGGTGGCGCTGACTCGCAGCCCGAGTGGGCCCTGGACCGAGCCTACGGCGATGCCCGCGTGGAGCTCTGAGGGGAGAGTCGCCGGGGCCCCTGGGGAGTCACCGCTTGAGGTCGGGCCCCGCTGTACCCCTGCCCTGCTGCAGACCAAAGGCATGGCTGCTGTCTTTCCCCAAGCCGGCCTCCAGCTGTGCTAGGCGAGCAACGCCTCCCGTTATTTATTGTGTACAGACCCATGCTGCTCCAATCATGTCCAATAAAAACCACTGGGCTTCGAGCCGCTCGCCCAGCGCAGGCCGAGGCAGTCCTGGCGGGGCCGCGCCGCGCCGTCCCGAAGAGCTCTGCCGGCGTCACGTGAGGGGCGGGCCGAGGCGCGCTTCTCCGCGGGCCCCGCCAATCACGAGCGGGATCGCGTGGGGCGGAGTGTCGTGATTGGACCTCGGCTGCGCCGGGGCGTCCCTAGGCCGTGCTACCTGTAAGCCAAAGTCGCAGTCGATCGGCAGCCCGGCGGGCGCGCGAGTAAGGGTCGTTCTCGCGAGAGCGCGGCTCTTTTCTTCGTGGTGCCTGCAGCGGCAGTTCGAGGCCCGACATGGACGCTCAGGAGGACTACATCTGGCCGCGGGCCACCTCGGAGCTCATTCTCCTCCCGGTCACGGGTCTGGAGTGCGTGGGGGACCGGCTGCTGGCGGGTGAGGTTGGGTTTGAGGACCCCGAATGGCAGCGTGGGGCGGGTCCTGGGGAACAAAGGGATGCCCTGGGGGAGGGGGCGGCCTGCGGGACAGACCCGAGCGGCGGAGGGAAGGGGTCCCAGAAGACGGCCGGAATGAGGACGAGGCTGGGAGACCAAGCTGGCGTGGCCCCTGCAGCCCTCCACGGACTGCATCCGAGACACGGGGCCGGAGATACGGTTGGGGGGGAGATGCATGGCATCTTCGAGAAGGTGGGGGGGCGGGGGTTGTCGTCTCTCCAACGGAGGTAGAGCGGGAGGTGGAGGGGGTCCGTGGAGATGTCCCCCTAGGGGGCGGGGCCTGGCATGAACAGGGGGTGGGGTCAAGAGCGGGCGGGGGTGTGGCCTCACCTTTTGATGGGGAGAATAAACTATCTTTGTGGAGAGAGCTGAGGTCTCGGAAATTGGGGGTGAGACTTTTCCAAGGAGGATCGTGCCTGGGAGAGGGGGTACCCTCTTGATATGGCGGGGATCTGAGGCAATCCGTGTCGGTGTGGAAGTTAGGCGGTTTAGTCCTAGGAGGCGCGACTGGGGATGCGGTGCTGCTTTGGTTGAGAGGGGTCTTGAGTGAGCTGCTACAGTCTCGGGTGGGTGTGGAGGGGACAGGGAGTGATGCCCAGTTTTTATCTTGATTGGACACTCTGGGAACCTACCAGGAGTTAAGCTCTCAGATCTCTTTAACTGTTAGAACAGCTTAGTAGAAACCACCCAGAGAGTGGCAGTAAACTAGGAGAAGGGGAGGGGTGAGATTCTGGCAGAGGTCAAGCCAGGCAAAGGACAGGAAGGCTGGGAGACTTGCCTTGTTTTAAAAGGTTGGAGGGAATTCCTGTGAGTCGGAGCCAGAGGGGCTCGCGAGATGAGCAGAGGTCAGAGTGGAGGAGGCTTTGGTCCTCGGGTTTTGGGCAGGCAGAGGATGAAGAGTTTCAAGTCAGGGAATGACTTGGTGGGATTCACCTGTTCCTGTGCCTTCCAAAGTGACACCGATAGAGCTACCGTTTTTAATTCCATCCGCCTGCACCTGTCATCTCAGTCTCTAGCCCTGTTCTCTCCTGAGAAGCTGAAATACTCCCTCTACTCTAGTGGCTCAGCTCAACAGGAAGCCATCAGCCACTGGTGTCCAAGCCCAAGAAGCTACCTGACAGCACCCCCCACCCCACCCCCGCCCCCAACCAGTTAGGTACCAAGTCAGCTGGATTTCGACTTCACACATGTCTGTTTCTCTGCCTTTAGTGACATAATTTGAGGGAACCTCCCGTCTCCCTTCCTTCCTTCCTTAGTGACATTCTCATTGGCCCATCCTTCATTTCCTGTTCCAGCCTCTCTTACCCAAAGTTCTTTCCTACCTGGAGGCCTCACGCCCATGGTTCCATGTTCCCCAGAAAGCATCTTCAGAAAGCATTCCTCCTTGAGCTTACTCACCACTCACCTTTGACTCCTCGGCCACCTCCAGGTGGCCTCCCCTGGCACTGGGACAGTTGGGTTCATTAGACCAACGCTGCTCTTTCCCCCTGGGGCTACTGTGTTTTGGAGCCAAAGACTCTTTGTAAGGAGCTGGTCTGCCCTTGGTCTCTCCCCAGTAGTTGCGGGCAGCGTCTCCAGCCCCACCATTATACATACCCTTCCCATCCCACACACACAATCAAAGGCGATCTCCGCTGCCTCCAGACATTGTCATCTAGCTCCTGGGGACAAGGCCACCTTCTGGTTTAGACCTCCCCGTTTTGTTTTATCTTTTTACAGTAACTTGTAGGGTCCTTCCCTGGGGTTCGCGCAAACTGTAGTGGTGTGGGGATGTAGCTGTAGGGCTGCATTTGCTTTAGCTGAACTGCCTTTCCTTAGAGAGGGGGAGGAAGGGGGTGGTGGTAGAGAGGTCAGAGGGTTCCGGTCTGAAGCTTGGGAGTGAGAAGTTTAAGGAGGAGGCTGGGTGTAAGGAATTGGCCATGGAATTCAACTGGAATGACTTAGGAAGCCCGAACTGAGAATCCTGCTAGAACCGGGGCCTAGGGTTTCTGGAGACGCCGGCTGGTGGGACCATGTGACGTAACGTGATGACAGGGACCAGGCAGACAGGCCATGGGCATGAGGTGGTGGGAGGTCCTGACGCGGCGCTTTGCCTCTGTCTAGGTGAGGGGCCTGATGTCCTGGTGTACAGCTTGGACTTTGGTGGCCACCTGCGGATGATGAAGCGAGTGCAGAACCTGCTTGGCCACTATCTTATCCACGGGTTCCGGGTGCGAGGGGATCCCGCCGTGGGGGATGTGGACTCTCAGGCCATGTTGGCCGTGTTTGGAAGCAAGGGCCTCCGAGTTGTGAAAGTTAGCTGGGGTCAGGGCCGCTTCCGGGAGGTCTGGCGCTCGGACCTGTGGAGCATGTCCGACTGGATCTGGGATGTCCGCTGGCTGGAGGAGAAGGTGGCCGTGGCTCTGGGCCACAACTCCGTGGCGCTCTACAACCCCATGCTAGGCCGCCTCCTGCAGGAGGTGCACTGCACCGACAGGTGCACCCTCTCCTCGGCCTGCCTGATTGGGAACACCTGGAAGGAGCTGACCGTGGTGGCCGGTGCCATTTCCAATGAGCTCCTGGTCTGGTACCCAGCCTCCGCTGCCGACCTCGAACCTGTGACGCCTGACCGGCGGGTCAGTGGGCACATGGGCGTCATCTTCAGCATGTCATACCTAGATAGCAAGGGCCTGCTGGCCACGGCCTCCGAAGACCGAAGTGTCCGCCTCTGGAAGGTGGGCGACCTGCGGGTGCCCGGAGGGAGGGTGCAGAACATCGGCCACTGTTTTGGGCACAGCGCCCGAGTGTGGCAGGTCAAACTGCTGGAGAATTACCTTATCAGCGCCGGAGAGGACTGCGTGTGCCTGGTGTGGAGCCACGAAGGTGAGATCCTCCAGGCCTTCCGGGGCCACCAGGGCCGGGGGATCCGTGCCGTCGCTGCTCACGAGCAGCAGGCCTGGGTCATCACGGGGGGCGACGACTCTGGCATCCGGCTGTGGCACCTGGTTGGGCGGGGGTACCCGGGCGCGGGTGTCTCGGCTCTCTGTTTCAAGTCCCAGAGCAGGGCCGGCACCCTCAAGGCCGTGACGCTGGCTGGCTCGTGGCGAGTGTTGGCTGTGACTGACACAGGGGCCCTGTACCTGTATGACCTCGAGGTCAAGTGCTGGGAGCACCTGCTGGAGGACAAGCGCTTCCGATCCTACTGCCTGCTGGAGGCTGCCCCGGGCCCCGAGGGCTTTGGGCTGTGTGCCATGGCCAACGGGGAGGGCCTCATCAAGGTGGTGCCCATCAACACACCGGCCGCCGCCGTGGACCTGACCCCGTTCCAGGGCAAGGTGCACAGTCTGAGCTGGGCCCTCCGTGGCTATGAGGAGCTCCTCCTGCTGGCCTCGGGCCCTGCCGGGGTGCTGGCCTGTCTGGAGGTCTCCGCCGCACCCTCTGGCAAGGCCATATTTGTCAAAGAACGTTGCCGCTACCTGCTGCCTCCCAGCAAGCAGAGGTGGCACACCTGCAGTGCCTTCCTGCCCCCTGGCAACTACCTGGTGTGTGGGGATCGCCGCGGCTCCGTGCTGCTCTTCCCTTCTCGCCCAGAACTCTACCCAACTCATGGGGTGGGGATCGGGGTCGGGCTCGAGGTCGGAGGCAAGGCCGTGGCGGCTGCTGTGGCGGCGGTGCTTAGTGTGGGTGGCGGCGGCGAGGGGGATGGGAGCACCCCTACCGAGTGGGGGCCCGTGTCCACACTCCCAGCACTGCATGGGAAGCAGGGTGTGACTTCGGTCACCTGCCACAGTGGCTACGTGTACACTACTGGGCGGGATGGCGCCTACTACCAGCTCCGGGTGCAAAGTGGCCAGCTGCAGCCCGTGCTCCGGCAGAAGTCCTGCCGGGGCATGAACTGGTTGGCTGGGCTCCGCATGGTGGCCGACGGGAGCATGGTCATCCTGGGATTCCATGCCAACGAGTTTGTGGTGTGGAGCCCAAGGTCGCATGAGAAGCTGCATGTGGTCCACTGTGGTGGGGGGCACCGCTCCTGGGCCTTCTCCGACACCGAAGCTGCGGTGGCCTTCGCCTACCTCAAGGATGGGGACGTCATGCTGTACCGTGCCCTGGGGGGCTGCACTCGGCCCCACGTGATTCTCCGAGAGGGTCTGCATGGCCGGGAGATCACCTGTGTCAAACGGGTGGGCACCATCACCCTGGGGCCCGAGTTTGACGTGGCCAGCCTCTTGCCACTGGACCCCCTGGAGCCTGGCAGCCAGGGCCCGGGCCTGATCGACATCGTCATCACGGGCAGCGAGGACACCACTGTCTGTGTCCTGGCGCTGCCCACAGCCACCGGCGCCGCCCATGCACTCACAGCCATCGGCAACCACAGCTCCTCTGTGCGCACGGTGGCCGTGTGGGGTGCCAGCACCCCTGGTGGCCCTCAGGATCCTCGGCCCGGCCTGACTGCCCACGTGGTGTCCGCGGGGGGCCGGGCCGAGATGCAGTGCTTCAGCCTCATGGTCACGCCCGACCCTGGCACCCCAAGCCACCTGGCCTGCCATATCACACACCTCTCGTCCCATCGGCTGGACGAGGCTTGGGACCGGCAGCGCAACCGGCACCGCATGGTCAAGGGGGACCCAGAGACCAGGTGGCGTGAGGGGCCGAGGCCCGGGGTCAGGCTGGGCCACCCCCACCCCCACCCCCCACCCCCGTCTGCAGGCCCCGCGTGACGGTTGTGTTGCTGCTTGCTGCTGCAGGTACATGTCCCTGGCGGTGTGTGAACCTGACCGGCCTGGCCTTGACCCCCTTGTGGCTGCAGCCTGTAGTGATGGGGCAGTGAGGTGAGAGTCTGGGGCCCAGGGTGCTCGGGGGCAAAGGTTGTGTGGTGGTCCAGAGTGCGCCCTGAGTGTCCTCCCCGTGCCCCCAGGCTCTTTGTCTTGCAAGACTCGGGGCGGCGGCTGCAGCTTCTCGCAGAGACCTTCCACCACAAGCGTTGTGTGCTGAAGGTTCATGCCTTTACACACAAGAGCCCTGGCCAGCGGTGAGCGGGGCTGGGCGAGGGCTGGGTGGGGAGTGCCTGTTTCCCTTCGCTCCTCCCACTGACCTGGCTGCCCTTTCCCGGCCCCCCAGGAGACTGCTGCTCAGCAGCGCAGCCACTGACGGCAGCTTGGCCTTCTGGGACCTGACGGCCGTGCTGGACCATGGCGCCACGGCCCTGCAGCCACCAGCAGAGCCTGGGTTTCCCCATCGTGAGTACCTCACATGTCACCGGCCCTTGGCCGTCCCCCTTCCCTGTGGTGTGGCAGGTGGAGTCCTGATGAGCATCCTCTTCCTGCAGAGCTGGGGACCCCCTGCCTCACCCTGCAGGCCCACAGCTGCGGAATCAACAGCCTGCACACCTTGCCGATAGGGGAGGGCCACCACCTTGTGGCCAGTGGCAGCGAGGACGGGTCACTGCATGTGTTCCAGCTTGCTGTGGAGCTGCCTGAGTTGGAGGAGGCTGCAGGGGAGGCAGAGCGGGAGCCCCAGCTGCGCGTGCTGGAGGAGCACACGGTGCCCTGTGCGCATGCGGCGCACGTGACCGGCCTCCGGATCCTGAGCCCAAACCTCATGGTGTCGGCCTCCATAGACCAGCGGCTCACCTTCTGGCGCCTGGGGCGCGGGGAGCCCACCTTCATGAACAGTGCCGTGTACCACGTGCCGGACGTGGCCGACATGGACTGCTGGTCCGTGAGCCCCGAGTTTGGCCACCGCTGTGCTCTTGGGGGTCAGGGGCTTGAAGTTTATAACTGGTACGACTGAGGGGTCCTGCGGCGGCTGGTGTGCAGGGCACAAGGGCAAGTTCCTGATCTCCCAGCTGGAGCTGGGGTGAGGAGAGCACTGCCTGGGTGGACCAAGAATGTGCTCCACCCCCACCCCCACCCCCAAAGCAGGACGCAGCTTTGTAACAGAGAAATTTATTTTGGCTCAAGGCCTCTAGCAAACTGTGAGGCTTCCCTCTCCCCCACCCCACCTTTCGCTCCAGTCGATTTTATGAACGTTCATTCCGGACCCCAGGACCTTGTTGCTTCAGATGTGGTTCAGCGGGGGGAGGCCCAGCAAGGCCAGGCCAGCATGCAGCACTCCGCGCACAGCCCGCAGAAGCTGCAGGCGAGCAAACATCTGACCAAAGAGGTGTGGCCGGGGCTCCTGGAGGAGAAGGAGGAGGGGCCCACTGCGCTTATCCTCTGCGTCCCCTCCCTTCCCCCTGTACCCGGCTGGTCGCCGGGCCCCCTTTCCTGTTGTGTGCTCACCCCCAAGATGTGCACCCGGTTGTAGTAGGAGCTGACATCCATGCTGAGCTGCACCAGGAACCTGCATATCTGCAGACAGCGAGAATAGCTCACTGGCCCATTCCTAAGTGTGTGTCCCAGCCCAGAATAAAGAACTGTGGTCTCCGCCTCACCGTCTCCGTGCGCGCTGCGATGTGCCGCCCTGGGGCTGCGTAGGCCAGGCCTGCTGCCTGGCTCAGCAGGTCCGGGAAGGGGAGAACGCTGTTGAAGAGCAGCAGCCACTCGCCCTGTCCAGGAAGAGGAGGGTGCTGGGAGGAAAAGGCGGGGACCCCGCACATGCCACTCCTGGGTGGGACACTCACCTCGTCCCGGAGCAATGAGAAGTCTAGGCTGCTGACGGGTGGGAAGGCGGGGTACAGGCCTTGCGCCATGCTGCGCTTGTAACTCTCAAAGAGTGTGGCCAGGCGGGCACAGTTGTACATGACGAAAGTGCCGCTCTTGGTGCCCTTTGTGGAAACGCTGTCGGCCAGCGTCAGGAGGAGCTGAGGAGCAGGAGCACAGCTATAGAGAGAGGGCAGCTGCCACCAGGTGCTCCCAGCCCCGGCTCTGCATGGCACCCAGGCTTACCTGACTCTGGGGGGCTGTGCTGAGCATCTCAAATTTGACAGTGGCCACAGAGAGGCTCTGGCTGATGTCTGCCCAGGCTGGGTCTGAGGGAGTAGAGCTCAGTCAGTCAGCCTCTGCAGGCAGGCAGGGTATATACGACTCATCCCTACCCCAAATCAGAGTCTCCCCTGCGCACCGCGTGCCAGATCCCCGCCGCGCTTGAGTGCGGAGGCCTTGCATGCCTGCGCAAGTCGGAGCCTACGTTTAAAGAGAGGAGGGTCAGTGTGCATGGGACCAAGGGAGACATGCCCCCCTCCTCCCGCCCCCTGCTCAACACCCCTGGCTCAGGGTGGCCAGCCGGCCTGCCAGCTTCACTCACTTGTAGTACTCCGGGGCAGTCAGTGTCCTGGCTCCACCAACTACTCTCACCGGGCCACAGACCAGGTGCTTCTGTGGGCAAGGAGGCAGAGGTTCAGGCTATGGGGCGCTCCCCTCCAGCACAAAGTGTCTCAAACCAACCCCTCCCACCGGATCCCATTGCGGTATTAGACTCAGTAACCCAGTAGGACAGAGTAGAATGGCTATTAATCTTTTGAGCAGACAGCCTCATCTTTCTCCCTCAGAGAAGCGGATAGGTTCAAACCGCCAACCTTAGAGTTAGCAGCTTAGAACTTGGAACACCCTCCAACTGCCGCCAACCTATTCTTCAGGGTTCTCTGGGCTGCACCTCCAGACCCTCTCTGGGGCCTCCAGACCTGTTGCACCTGTCCGTTTACAAACCCAGCCTTCCCCTCATGGTCAAGTGTCACTTTTTAGACCCACTGGTTCCAAACTCCTTTGGTGAACTTTCAAGGAGCCTTGGGAGCCAGCTGGGGAAGCAACCAGGGCTGACCCACCTGTCTGCGAGGGGCCTGCTCATCCAACTTCCGCCAGAGCAGGTCTGCCTTTTGTTGTTGGAATTCTTCTTCGCAGCTTACCACGTGCACAACAACGCAACTGTCTACACTGCAATCTGAGGGCCGGGCCTACATGGAGGAGGGAGTCCTTTTGGGGTCACAGAACACTTGGCTTTACCGGGGGCCCAACTGGGCAGAAGTGCCACTCACCAGGCCTGGGGAGCTGTCCTCACGGCAGTTGTGCACGGCTTCCTGCAGCTCAGCCAGTGTGCAGAGAAGGTCCTCGGTCACTGTGCAGAGGAGAGACAGCTTTCGAGGCTGGTGGCTGTGCAGAGGACCCCCGCCATCTTTCTGGACCCAGCAGGCCCCAGGGCCTACCCAAACAGTGGTCTAAGTTGCGGTCATAGCCAGCTGAGGGGCCTTGTTCTATCAGCTCTTTCAGGCACACTCTGCCCAGGACGTTGGGCGGCAGCACCTCCCCACCACTCGAAGAAGTCTGCTCTGCAAGGACGCGGCTCCTTAGGGTCGCCGTCGCTGTTCTCCTGGGGGCAACGGGCCATTCCACTCGCAGCTGCTGCAGGAAGGTCTGCAGGTGCGGGTCCCATGTGGCAGGGGCCTGGTGCACGCTCACCCTGTGGATATAGGGTGGTCGCCTCAGTCTCCACACGTGGCCTTGCTTTCAGCACCTGCCTTCCCGCTCCCAGCGCCCAGCCCAAGGGCAGCACCCCCAGGAGGCTCCCAGAAGCCCTGCTCACCCGTGAGCGCGCAGGACTCGCGCCAGGTGATCGGCCACGAGAATGGCACGCAGCTGGCTCAGGCGGAGGGTGCAGGGGGCGCAGCGCAATGCTGGGCAGTGCAGGATGACGCGCGGGCCCGGGGAGGAGGGCGCAGCGGGCACGACGTAGGCAGCCACGGAGCCGAGGACGCGCTCGAAGACGGCTGGCCGCTGCAGCTGGAGTGCCAGGCCAGCGGGGGTGGGCACACAGCGCTGCACCGGGGCGACGCCGGGGCCCTGCAGGCTGGCGACGGCACTGACCACAGGCTCGGGGACCTGCAGGTGGACGGGTGGGTGAGCGGGCCCACGTACCAGTACTTGGCCTCACGTCTCCACCAGACACGCTCACCTGCTCGGCTCCGAAGCGCGCCTCTAGTGCGCGCCGTGGCGCCAGGAAGTCTCGGGCACGCAGGTGGCGGGCGCGTGTTTCCTTGAACCACAAGGGGCCTCCAAGTCCTAGGGCAGCATTAAGGGCCCCTAACGTTTCCTCGACCCCAAGGCGCCCTGTCGCCATGGCGACCGGAAAAGAATGAGCAGAAACCGGAAGCAAAACCTCTGGAGGCTGAACTTCCGGGAAGGGTGTTCAGATTGGCCTGGCGCAGTTCCAGCAGGGACAGGTGCGTCGGAAGGGGTAACAGGGCCGCTTCTGTCCCTTCTCCCCTATGGCTCCGCGTGCGTGGCCTACCTTCCCTACCTGGCCCAAGGCTCTTTCATGGTCTCTTCGTGTAACGTTGAAAATCGGATCCTTGAGACCGGGGGGTGGGGGTGGGTGGGGCCTCTGTGGTTACTCGGTCTGAACCCGCCCTTAGCACATCCCAGTACTTTTGTTTCATTTCCCTCATTTTACGTGTCAAACGTCTGTTCCATAGGAGACTTATCAACGAGGGCAGCTAATATACCACCACTGCCCAGAGTTCACTGCAACAGAACACCTCCCTAGGGGCCAGAGTCTAACCACCCTCCAGGGTCTCCCAGGCTGCGACCCTCTCACTGGCGGGCTGGTGGGGTTCCAGGCAGTCAACCTTTTTGGTTAGTGGTTCACTTTACCAAGAGCCTCACCAGGGCCATTTATAATCTTACAACCATTGAACATGTGTGGCTTAGAGCAATTTGTAAGCATTTCCTTGTTGAATCAAATTTATTACCAATAAATGCAGATTTTTCTATTGAAATGTAGGCAGATTGGACATTATGGACTTTTCTAGAATTACCAGCTTTTATTGCTTCTCAAAACTGGTGTACTTTAGTAGTAATCCACTTCCTGTTTTAGGCAAGGCGCCATTATGAGGGCAACAGGGCTACAGACAGCAGAGCTCAGCAGGAGTGTCCGCCACTGGCAGGCCTGCGCTCTCCTGTATACATACACCACGTACACTTTCACTTCGCATAACTTAATCCTTCCGATTGTATTCATCTTTACTGATTGCGCCCCTCAGCACAGAGCTGGGAGACCCCAATCCCTGCTTGGCAAGGTGGCCTTCTGGGCCTGGGCGCCCTGCTGGGAGGAGCCAAAAGAGCACTGGGCGGACACGACATTCCCGATGGCTTCTTGGGTGCCCACTCAACGGGAGTGATCGTGTCATTCCAAAGCGCTTTCCATGCTGCGGACTCCCGATCGGGGTGGGGGTGGGGCAGCTGCTAGCAGGCTTATAGGCCAGAGGCTGAGTCTGGGCCTCCGGCCTCTCAGCCCATGAAAACGGTTAGGGTGCTTCCCCCCCCCCCCCCCCCAGGAAGTGAAGCGCTATCTTTAGCAAGCTGTGGGTTGGGGTGGCCCTGTGGGACTCAGCTACTGCAGCGCTACCCTACCGGAGGCCCTGGCCCAGTCTTCCTTCAGTCAGTGCTCTCCAGGGTACCAGAGACGACCACTCGCCCCCGCTCTCCCACAACTGTATCCCACCATCTTCAGCCTGAGGTCGCACGTGAGGAGACCGGAGCGGCCCCACTAAGTATGTCTGCAGGTTGCCGCTAGTCCACCCCATCTGGGCCAGGACGCTGCTCAGGCAGGAGAGCAGGGAACGAAATCCAAGCGCAGCTGGAATGCTCTGGAGACAACAGCTGCTTTTGGGATTCCGTTGCCCGCTCTCCCGCCGTGGGAGGGAGGGGGCTCCTGCCCCCAGGTCCCTCTCCCTCCTGCCGGTCCAGAATCTCCGATTCCCAATCCCAGGGGGCGGATCTAGTAGTAGCAGGAAAAGAGTCTGGTAGGAACGGGGCGCTCACCTGGGCCCCAGAACAATGGGAGGGGGAAAGTGGGGGCCGCCCCTGGGACTGGTTCCTGATCCGGATTAGATCCGTCGGATAGGATTAATCCTGTCGGTCCCACGCAGCCGGAGCCCAGGGGCGGCAGTGGTGGGCAGGCTTCGGGATCGGCTAGGAGGGAAGAGTCCACAGGGCCGGGGAGGAAGTAAGCCCGCGTGCCCGCTTCGGGGGCACCCCCACGCCCGGGGCCTTTGTCCCGTGACGCTGCCAGCGCCTGGAACCCCAGGGGCCCAATGAGTCCGCATGGCGGCGAAAGGACCTCTAGAAACCCATTGTGGTCTGGCTCAGGCCAGCTGCAAGGCCCCGTTATGCCTAGCCGCCCGCCCTCCGAGCCACGCAGGTAGAAGACGCGGCCACGTTCCCGCGAGGCGGCCAGGCGGACGTGCGGAGATGCCCGAGCCCCGCGCGTCCGCCAGCGCCTCTCGCGCCAGCAGGCCCTCTGACTCGGCTCAAGACGGGGGCGGAAACTCTCGGGACGCCTGCAGCACGGACGAGGCCAATACGATACTCCAGCTGTCGTCCAGTTCCACCTCTGGTCCAGTCCGGCTCGGAGCTCCCAACCCGAAGGAGTCTTCTCCCACCTTTCCGCTGCGTCCCCTTCCGCTTGCTCTGGACGCCGACTTAGAGCCATTTTAAGGTGAAGCCACCAGCCACGCCCCCCTCGCGCTCCCGCGAAGCCAATCCACGCGCAGCCACGCCCCCGGCGGCGCGCGGCGGCGCCGTCAACGGTCGCGCGAATGACGGTTGGGAAGGGGCGGGACTCGGGGGCGAGGCGGGGAAACCTGAGTCGCCCGCCGCACCCCTGGAACCCGACACCCCAGAGTTTGAGATTAAGGGATGCCAGGCTGGTGCCACGCCCTGGCCAGGTGCGCGGGCAACGGCCAGGTGCGCAGCCGTCCCGCCCTGGGCCCCCGGAGTGCTGCGTAATGGCTGGGAACCGGGGCAGGAGGCCGCGTCTGGGGCCCAGTCTATGCCCTGAGGCCGGCCACACTGCCAGGTGCCCCGCTCCCCTGGGACTGCAGGCGGGGCCTGGGGCGGCGCCGGCGGTGGGTGCTGACACCGGAGCTGCGCGGAGAGACCCCCTCTCGTGAGACAGATGGCACGGACGCGCTCCCGCTTCCCCGCGGAGCTGGCCTCGCCGCGCTGGGCCTGCCGGGCCGCAGGGGGCGCTGTGTCCGCGCCGGGCGCCGTCCTGACCTCACCGACCCTACGTCGCCGCTCCGCGCGCGTTCGTCATGGCTGCTGCCTTGGCGCTTCGCAGCTTGTACAGGGCACGACCCACGCTGTGCCGTCCCCTCGCGGAGCTGCACTGGTGAGCGCAGGCCCGCACCTTCCCCAAGGGCGCGCAACCCTCGGCCCCACGCCTTGTTTCTTCCTCCGCTTAGAGAGCCGGGCCTTGAGCCCCTGACTCTGCTGTCTCCCAGGCCCCCACGGCGTGGGCATCGGCTCACGCCTGCGGACGACGAGCTGTATCAGCGGACGAGCATCTCACTGCTGCAACGCGAGTCCCCGAACGTCATGTACATCGACAGCTACAACATTCGTGGCTTCACCATTAATGGCAACCGCGTGCATGGCCCCTGCGCGCTGCTCCCGCATTCCGTGGTGCAGTGGAACGTGAGTCCTTCCCCGTCCACCCCCCACCGGTGAATCGGAGTCACGGGCTCGACCCCTCGAATTTTGTTTCTGGCAAGCTTGGCGTTTTTTCAGCTGCCCCGTTGAGGTTTCAGGGAGGGGTCCGCGGTACGGCTGTGGTTTTTCTATTGTTCCCGTCTCCTCCCCGCACAGGTGGGATCCCACCAGGACATAACCGAAGAGAGCCTCTCCCTCTTCTGGATGCTGGAGCCCCCAATAGGTGCGAGAGCCGGACAGATCCTAGGTACTGTGAGCCCAGGCAGGCCCCCCCCAGCCTCATAACAGACCTGGTTGTATATGACCCTACCTAGAGATTATCGTGGTGGGGACTGGAGACCGGACAGAGCGGCTGCCACCTGAAGTGCTGCGAGGCATGAGACAGAGGGGCATTGCGGTAGAAGTGCAAGACACGGTGAGGCCCAGGGCTTGGGAAAGCTGCTGAGAACCCTGCTCACCCAAGCCCTGCTGACATCAACCTTCTCCTACAGCCCAATGCCTGTGCCACTTTCAACTTCCTGTGTCACGAAGGCCGGGCCACGGGAGCTGCTCTCATCCCTCCCTCTGGAGGGGCTGCACACACATCTCTGGCCCAGGCTGCAGAATGAACCACTGGGAGCCAGCCTCTCCAAGGCCCTAGCCCCTTTTGTGGGGTACAAGAGCTCTGAGTAGCCCCTCCTTATGTCACATTTACTAGACCATAATATAACTATTCCTCTTACTTTGGACTAGGTGTGTTGATAGTAAGTTGCTTTTCTCGTGTGTGCACTCTTCCAAATCAGACTTGCTTTTGTTACTCACATGGAAACTCAAGGGGACCTCGCTATTTCACAAGGCCTTTTAGAGATTCAAGTTAGGTAGCATGTTCGGGTTTTGGCCTGGCCACTGGGTTACGAGAGATTGGTGGATAGGAGTCTGGGGCCCCCCAGGCTCTCATGAGCCCTCTTAGGGAGCCTCAGGCTCAGATTCTGTGAGAGACTGGGTTCTTCAGAGGTAGCCTGTGGGCAGCCTTAGTTGGGGCACACTCTTGAACTCTTCGTGGTTCAGACCTGGGCTCTCCTTTGTCAACAAGAGCCTGCTGACCCGAATAAACCAGGCATTCACTTTTTTTCAAACTTTTATTGAAAAAAGAAAAAAAGAGGGAAGATTACTGGATCAGAAAAGCCGCTTCTCGTACCTATGGGCAGGAAGGAAGGCCTTATGAGGGAGGGCAGGAGAAAGGAGACATGGCAGGGCACAGGAGAGGTGGGTGGGATTAAGTTACTTACGAATGGAGGCCGTGGACACCGCCTTCTACCTGGGCGGAGGATGTTCTCTTCTCAAACTTGAGTTCTCCGGAGTACATCATGGCTCTGAATGGAGGGCTGCGGTCAATGGGGAGCCAGCCCTAGACAGCCTGACCCTGGAGCTTAGCTCCTGACACTCACCGGACTTGGGTCAAACTCTTGGCACCAATGTCCTGGCAGGAGTGTTGGATGCCTGCGATCAGGTAGGGGACAAACTTGTGGATGGATCCTTTGTCTTGCACAGCCCCTGACACACCCTGGGCCACCTTGATTTTGTCAGCTTCACTGTAGAGAGGCCAAGGCATGGGTAGGGTCACTACACAGGAGAGGCCCACTGGCAAGGGGCAGGGTGGTGGAACTGGCCTGCTGCCCACCTGAAATAGCGGTTCTGGCTGCTGAGGTGTTTGTCCATGGCGTCGAGAGAGCCCATGCCGCGGTATTTCTTCAGGCGGATCCCATCAGAGAAGAAGTATTCGCCAGGGGCCTCGGTAGTTGCAGCCAGAAGGGAGCCCATCATGACTGTGGACAGAGGCAGTGCTTGAGACAGTGTCCAAGCAGCCTTCAGGAAGCCCCGCCACTAGGCTTCATGGGTGCTGGGATTACCTGTGGAGGCCCCAAGGGCCAAGGCTTTGGCTATATGACCCACATTTTGTATGCCTCCATCAGCGATGACAGGGATGCCAAAGCGCCGCGCGTACTCTGACACTTTGTACACAGCTGTGGCTTGGGGCCGCCCGCAGGCCAGCACTGTTGTGAGATGGAGGAACAGATGGGTAGGCAGGGTTAGTGGGAACAGGCAAGGGGCCAATGGTCACACTGAGTACCCTGGGCGACATCAAGTTGTGGTTGGGCTGAGGGAGTTTGTCTGGGTTGACCTTTGCCCTCGACCTTAAAAGTGCCAACCACTTAAAATGCTGGCCTCCATATGTGTAGCGTGCGTGTGCAGGCCCAGGGCAACCTCAGACGCATGCAGTCTTGACTGAAAAGCTGCACCAAGCTGCTATCGGGTAGGATCCGGGGCACCGTGCTGTTAGTACCCAGAGGCACTTGCCTCTTTCCTGAATGGTGGGCAGCTCAGGCAAGATCAGAGGCTGGTCAGTCCCGTGGAAGGGAAAGCAGGTACCTGAGCAGGACCTGCCCTAGAAGTGTCTCAGCAAGATTCTGGAGCAGCCCTGAAAACCATGGTCTGTCCATGAGTCTGCCCTGCCCACCCGCCAGCACCACAAACCCCGGGAGCTACAGCTACAGTCAACCAAGCAGCTGGGCGGTGGGCAGCTGGGCCGGGCCAGTGGGCCGGGCCGGACTTACTATAGCAGCCCGTGACAGTAGAAGGGCATTTGGGGCTGTGGGACTTTATGTCTGGAGGGATCTTGGGAGCCACTAAATAAAACAAACAGACCAGAGTTTAGAGAGGGCACAGAGCAGGAGCAAAGAGGCCAGGCTAGGCGGGGGTGGGGTGGGAGGTGAGGGCTGAAGAGCTCCTCTTCCAGCACACATCACCCATCCAACCCTATTTGGCCCCCAGACCTGCCTATAGGGGGGTGCGTGGTATACCTCTAAGTGCGCGTGGCCCTAGTGCAGGTGGGGTTAAGGGTGCTTAAAGTAGCATCTTCTTACCTTCCTGGGTAATGCAGATGGAGCCACTGCCCATGCCCACCCGCAAGGCATCCACACCTGCGTCGATGAGGTTCTTGGCCTGAGCAGCAGTCACCACTGCAAGGGGAGAGGGAAAGGCTCAGGCACAGGTCCAGGTGGAAGCCCAGACTGTTCCACAGCTTGAGATGCTTCGTCTTGTCTCACCATTGCCTCCAATGACCTGGAGACTGGGGTACTTCTCTTTGATGTACTTGATCATGTTGATCTGGAAGATGGAATTTCCCTGGGAAGAGTCCTGAGACAGGGAGGAAGTTTCAGAGAGACTGCTGCATGGCAGCCGACCCTACTACGCCACCACCCCATCTGTGCAGCAGCGTACCAGAACCACCACGTCCACACCAGACTGAGCCAGCAAGTCCAATCGGTACTTGTCATCTTCATGTGTGCCGATGGCTGCTCCACACAGCAGTTGCTTCTTTGCATCTTTGGAGGCCAGTGGGTAATCTCGGTTCTTCTTCAGGTCTGTCCGGGCAATGATGGCCACCAGCTCATCGTTTTCATTTACAATGGGTAACTTCCCTGGGGGCAGTGCGGGACATTGTTAGTCAGGGCCCTAGACTTTGGTTCCAAGCCCCCTTCCCAGATCCATGACACTCACCCTTCTTGCTTCGCTGTAAGATTTCATTTGCTTCCTTTAATGTGATGCCTGCAGGCGCCACCACCAAGTCTTCCCGCTTTGTCATGATCTGGGAGGGGAGGAAGCTGTGAGAAGGCCTGACCTATCCGCAGGCGTGTGCTTCCACAGACTGATGTTCCTTCCCTCAGCTCCCCACCACTCTCCCCAAAGCAACCCAGCAAACCCTGCCACACTGTGGCAACCACACAGCAGGTGTGCTGGAGAAGGGAAACAGCAGGACTTGCAAAAATAACAGCCCCCCACCCCACCCCATTTGGCTTGGGCTGCTAAAGCTCAGCCGTGCTGTCAGCGTGGCACCCACCTCTTCCAGAGATCGGTCGTGTTCCTCCTCCTTGAGAAAATCAATGTCCCGGGAGGAGATGATGCCCACCAGATGGCTCCCCATTCGGCCTGTGTCTGTGATGGGGATCCCACAGAAACCATGCCGGGCTTTGGCCTCAAACACATCCCGTACTCGGTCTTTGGGGCTGAGGACCACAGGGTCTGTGATGAATCCCTGCTCATATTTCTGGAAGGATGGCAGGAAAGGGGGATTTCTTAGCTGGTTTCTTTCTTCAAGTTCTTGGTCTGAAGCCTGGGATCTCTGCCCAACTACAGCTTGGGGTTGTCACATGACCAATCCCACAGATACATGGAACCCTTCTCAGGTCAGGGGCAGGAAGCACTGTCCACTTGGTCCGATACTGTTGCCGGAAATGCTGGGTCTCAGGTTCTTCTCAGGAAGTGGGGAGGAAGAGCACTAACCACCTCAGGAGCTTATCCATCCCACCACCCCACCCCTCCCAATCCTAGGTGCTCTTGGCAGTATCTTTGACCTTCTGACCTTCACTTTCCGAACTTCATTGGCCTGGAATTCAGGGGTGCAGTTGTGGTGGATGAAGCCGATTCCGCCAGTAAGCTGCAGGGCAAACCAAGAGAAGAAGGAAAATAATGGACAAGTACTAAAGAGAGATTTAATAGACTTTTATTTTTGGGGGGGGGGGGGGTGCTAGATAGAATTGACCCCAACACCTGGATGGGCTTACCGCCATTGCTATGGCCATCCCAGCCTCCGTGACCGTGTCCATGGGGGAAGAAACTAGAGGAGTTTTTAGGGTGATCTTCTTGGTAAGCGCAGAGGTCAGGTCCTGAGGAAGTAAGGCTCAGTAGTGAGAGGTGGGGTGGTACCGGGTCCCCAGGAATCAGGTACCCTATATGACTTGCATGTAAGACAGCAAGTCCACTCCCCTGAATCCACCCCCAAGTCCAATCTAGTGAGGTAGCCCTGGCCCGGATTCCAACCCATACTCACCACTTGGTCTGCTGTGAAGTCGATGTATCCAGGAAGAATGAGAAAGTCACTGTTCAGAGGGAGATTGGAAGAAGGGTTCAGGCTTTGAGCTACCTGAGAATCTTTTCCCATAACTCACCCTCAAAAGGGCTCTGGGCACGGACTGCCAATGACTGGGCATGTGTCACAGGCGCAGCAGAGCACATGGTAGAGGAGAATATGCTCTTCCACTAGCTGTCACCAGTACTGCTGGCAGCCCATGGGCTCCGTATGCCAAGAAAATGTTTCCAGCGAATAACCCAGGCGCTGCCAGGGTGCTTCCTCCCCATCCCACAAGACCTGGGAGCAAGCGAATGTGAAATGTCATCCCAGGAACATCCTCCCCACGCCCGGGAGCTCAATGGAAGCCCCAACCAGCCTCCCGGCTCGGCGCGCCGCCCCTCTCCTCGCCCCGGCAAGCCCGATTAACTCCGCACTTGTAGGTGAGTCCATCCCCGCAGTTGAAAAGCTGCTGTGCCGTGAGTCCGTCATCCGGTACGTAGGACGTGCCCCCGCTAATCAAGTAGTCGGCCATGACCAGAGCCGAGCGCAGCCGCGTGTGTCCAGGACCGCGCCGCAGAGGCCGCAAGCGCCTGGGCCACGCCGATATAAGCCCGCTGATAGCGTCAGGGCGCCGACGCGCCGCTTACGTCAGGCGCACCGGGAATAGGCGGGGCCAGCAACAAGCCCGCGACCTGGGCCGAGTGGGCGCATGCGCAGAACCCGACAGCGGGCCGAATACTGGGAAGTGGGTGGGGCTTCCAGCCCCACCTACCCTACCCAGAGATGGTAGGCGGGGGGCGGGCCTTCACTTTTATTAAAGGGGCCCCTCTTCCTCCCTATTCCCACCAGGATCCTCCCCAAATAAAGACACATTGTTCACTAGAATATTGAAAAGACGTGCTTGTCATTCTTAATAAACAACTAGAGTAAGAATACATAAGAGAAACAGAGTGGTATCTTTATATGATACACAAGTGTATGTTACAAGAATTCCATCAGGCACAGGAGCCTCAGGTTTAAGGCCTCAATGTTAGGCCAAAAAAAAAAAAAGGCATGGTAGTTTTTACTTTAACATCTAAAATGTCACTTGTCTTAAAGGGGGTGCAATAGAAATTGTCTTTAATAAATCATAATTGAAGTTCTCATTTTCCTTCCAATAAGATGCTAAGTTTATGTCCCGAGTATGGAGAAAGAAAACACGCCGGCAGTCTGTGGTCAGTGAGGTGGGCCAGTTCACTGGGACTGGGGGGATTTCCTGAAGGGTCGGTCCATTCTTTATTCCATCTTTCTGGAGGAAGGGAAGGGGCCACATTTCTCCAAAAGGTTCAGGTCCTTTTCTCAGGCCCCAGGCAAAGGCAGGAAAAGTCAGCCAGCAACTTCCCAGGACACCGGGCACCCCCACAGGCTGATGAGGCTGCCGCCACTGCCAGTTTATGAAGATACAGAAGGAGCACGGTTTCCTTTTACATTTTGAACAGGAGCAGCCCGGAAGGTTTGGTAACTACACCAATAAAAAAAGGAAAAAGAAAAACGGAGGCCTCTTCTTTAGTGTGAAAGTCTGTCCAGTTCTTCCTGGCTGGTCTTCCCTGCATTCTGGTAGAGGCAGCTCAGTGCATGGTACTTGCATTAGCCACAGCAATGGCCTCCTGAATTTCTCGGATCACCAGGATTCGGGTCAGCATCTGTCCCATCTGCTCTCTGCTGATAGGCTGGACTGAGTACCAGATCGGGCTGTTGGGGGCCACTACCGGTTCAGGAGTCAGGTAAAAGGTGTCATTCCGGCCTTTCACACTCTGGGGGCTAAAGAACATGTTGGTAGAAACTGGGTAAAAGCTCTACAAACTCAGACCTCCCACCTTGAGCCTCCTGGACAGATGCTGTCTGCAAAAGCTGTGAAGGCAGCAGCTCTCCAGGGAGTGACACAGGCCCTCCTAGGGGCTCCTGCACACTACCAGGTGCAACTCCATCCCTCTGACAAATCAACATCCTAGACCACTATCCTACTTCTGTGTTCCCTTTTCTGTACCTGATCCATCGAAAAATCCCACAAGTCTTTCTGAGGACCCTTTCTGCCTTCCCAGCTCAATGAAGATTCAAGGTTCCTTCCTTGGGCTCCTCCCTCCCCCACTGTTGAGATAGACCTTTTCCAAGCATCTGACACACACTATCCTCTAACAGTTATCCTCATGCCCACCCAAGATTTACTCGAGGGCTACTGTGCACCAGGCTATGTACGCATCAGGTGTTCACGTGAGAACAATGAGTGAGCCTAACAGTTCCTGCCCTCATGGAGTTTACAGGTTTCAGGGGAGAGAGGAAATGATACAAATACAAGCAAAATGACAAATAGAGGTCAGTGGCTACAAAGAAACAGCCAGAGGACGTGATGTCCCTAAAAGAACAAGCAGAAAATTTGGAAGTGCTTCCTTAAACACACCTTAAAGTTGTGTTTAAGGTGAGAAGACGGATTGTGAAGAGCCATCTAGTCAAAAAGGTGGAGAAGAGGGGCTTGCTCAACAGTAATTAACTCAGTGCCAAAGCCTTGAGGTAAAGAGGGGCATTGTGTCCTTGTGTGGAGAGAAGCATGTGGCTAGAATCGAAAGCTACGTGGGCAAGGAGTGCATGCATGCCAGTTTCTGTTAACCATGTCAGCATGTGCTGTGTTTCTCTGCAGAATAACAGGAGACAACTGAACTACCACCTAAAATGACCAATCTAGCATGTCTGTGAAGACAACATGTCAAAATTAGAGGGAGCAAAAGGTATGGGCAAAGAAGCCCCTTTTTGGATAGGAGAGTGAAAATGATGACAGGTCAAAGTCAAGAAGATGCAGGGCTACCCTCAATATAGACTGGGGGCAGCCTTTCCTGTGCCTGAGGCTATCAGGAAGCGGGGACTCTTTTGACATTACGCCGTAGCCATAGCACACATCATGGGAAAGTAGCCAGTCTGCTTCTATACCTCTTTTTGGATTAGGGAATGAGTGGTTCTCTCCTGTGACAAGATATGCACACAGGTGAGCATGTCCATGTGCATGCACATTTACAGGGTCACCCGGTCACAATAAAGCCTCCTTGTGGGAAACAGAAGGATTTCTCTCAAGTTGTCTCCTCAAAATACATGCCAGACTTAGCTGCCTGAGAATGACTATACACTTGGAGGTCATCAGGAGTGGATTGGGGGTCATTCTCCCTGAGAGTTATCAGCTGTCTAGACCAAGCAGACACCACTGTTTATCCCACAA